CATGATCTTCATTCTCAGGTCAGCAGCTTAGCTTTTATGATTTTACAGGAAAACACCTCTAACAACAGGTTACAATATAGATTCAATAAAATTGAATAAAAATGATAATCTGTTGATTTTTCTTGGTCCAGTATTTCCATTGTGCACACCTAAGATAGAGACTTTATATTGTGTTCCTATGGGATAAAATAAGTAACCCCTAGTGACTAACCACTTAATACAGTTACAGAAATGGCTGTAGTGTGATTCTTTGCATTTTTAAAAGAGAATTAACTTTATCTGTTAAAGATTTTGATTTTGTCATGTGTAGCCACGTCTTAACAGTTACCACAGCAAATTTTGTGTTACCATCTCCAACTGATGACAAATCTTTGGGGCTTTTCCTTAACATGCTCAATATATCTCATTATGATTACACTAAATAAATAAATGCAATTACCTATACAACAATGTCTTTGCTGCTATAATAAAAATAGTATTTAAACAAATTCAAAGGAAATACAACCCTTCAGCCCTTTCCAGCCATGTATCTACACCTAAATGACTTGAATAAATGCAAAAAAGACACTTTTTAACAGTAACCTGTAAGTAATCTGCAGGTGACAACTCAATGGTAAACCAGCTCCCTCTAATGAAAGTTCAACAGGAGACTGGGCCATTTATTATTGAAGGTAAGCCATAGCTTCATTAGAGCCAGTCTTCTTCTCCAGCCTTAACTAGTTCAGACCATCACAGTGTGAGAAGATGGTATATGTTGAAGGGTAAAGTTTAATGAGTCTTATTTTTATATATATATATATATATATATATATACACACTTACCTGTGACCCCTTCTCACAGGGTGCAAGTTGTGATCTGTTCAATCAAAGAGTGATTTTTATATTCAACTATTTCATTTGAATTAAGCCTGGAAAATGGAAAGCTATACAATATTTCACAGAAATCAAAGATTAGAGAAAAATAAGCAGAATTTAGACGATAGATCTATTTCCTGCTCCTCGCCATCGTCAGCTGTGGAGAGCAGCTAAGCAAGGAAATAATAATCAAATTTTTCTTTATAACATTTTTGTTTTCCTACCACCGGTATTACATGTGGCAAAAATTGAGGATGCAACCATGGTAACAGAATATTTTGTCTTTTATTTAAATATAAAACTTTTACCTCCATGGTTGGACGTCTGAAGAACATATCTTTGTTTCCGAAATCAATTTGTTCTGTTTTTCCTAGATGAAGGGAATAACTTTATTAGCATATAAGAAGAGGAAGTTCATTAGTCATTAAAATACAGTATAATAATGTAATTACTGTATTGTCCTCATTAAATTAACTAACATAAAGAGGATAAACGGGGCGTAGACGACCTTGCGTTTTTTTTAAGCTGCAGTAAATAAAATAAAATTTAAAAAAATATTCAAAACTGACTTTTATGGCAAATTCATTCCGGTTTTACCCTTCAGCAGAGACAAAAGAAAAGACATTCTCTGTGATTGAATGAAAGGAAAAGGATTTTCAAACCTGAAAGATCTACATTTGTGTATGTGTCCTTGGCCATGAGGAATTTTTAAGATATGCGCCAGTGTATTCCTTTGATTGGCTGAAGGTCATTCTTCACACTGATTTCCAGTGCAGACGACCTACAGTCATTATTCAACCTGCTTCAGTATGCTGAGTGCATATATATGAATTATTATTTGACTTTAACCATGTTTATTCTGTGTGTGCATGTGTGACAGACTGGCAGTCAGTGTGTATGAATGGATACAGACGCAAGTTAGATCCATCCTCAAATAGAACAGTTATCACAATTATGTATGTGCATGAGCGTATCTGTGTTTGTTTGGTTTTTGGTGTGCTGCTACTCTTTCTGTAAGTGTGTGTGTGTTACAACCCTGACACACCAAGTCACTTACTTTGTTGGTTGCTTTCATGGTTAGGCCATGTGGGCTGACCACACCTGACACAGTTGGCTCTAATCTGCTCTTATCAGCATCTACTCAGCTGATTCACTTTGTTGAATCAGCAGCAGAATCAGTGACAGCGAGCAGTCTGTCTAACCACTTGGTAATTTCCCCATTTTTCTCCTCCGCTATCCTTTTCTTCTTTTACAAGCAGAGGAACTGTATGAGGGGCCGTCAGGGACATTATTCAGAATTACCTCTCACAAACACATGTGAAATGCTCTTACATACATTACTGGAAACACTTCTACATAAACAACTTGAAAAATTATTTGCTCGCAACACTACTGGAACGGCTTCGGACAGCAGTAACAAGGTGAAAAGCTCTCTGACGACCGACACACTCGAACGCTCTCGATAACGTATTCAAGTGAAACGATCTCACCACACACTACTGAAACGCCTAATACATACAAGTGAAGCGCTTCTTATAATTTAAATTATTTATATTTAAGATGATCAGTAGTGCCGCGTGCGGGAAAGCTGCATTGCTGGCCTGTTACGTTACTGGCAGCCTTTGATTTGCGTTTTTTATTCTTATTTTATTCTCTTTTTTGTTCGTTCATCATGTTTTTCACTGTAACTCTCCTGAAGTCCTGCCCCTAATCTAACGATATTGTTTGAGAGAGTTTTTGTGTTTTATTTTTGTGTTTTAATGCTGCTTCACTGGGACACTAGGGTGGCATTTCCTCACATCAAAAAGGGAGGACACTTTGCATACACACGGGACACGCAAGCAGATATTTATCTGGTATGATCCTGTTTTAATTTTAATATGTTTTTCCACCAGATTAACAAAGGTGCATACACATACCACATAGTCTAATAATAGATATAAAGATACAGTCATGACAACGTGCCCTTCCAATTCAGATTGACATAGGTCTAATATCATTCATACAGAAACTGTTCTTAATGTTTTTATCTGGATAGATAAAAGGGTAAAAAAAAATACAGCACTTCTGTTTCAGATGTTCATGCGCTTTGCCTTTAAATATGAGTAATGAGCATGTTCATATATTTCCGTTATTAATGACGTTATTAAAAGAAGTCCAGTCAAATCTCAAATGATGTGAGCATATAGGGCATTTCTGTTTGTGTCATGTCATTTATTGAAGGAAATGTTACAGTACTAAGTTAAGCTTAGAGAGGATTGCCTTCCCAGTATTTTAGTTTGTGGTGCTAAACCAAACGTCTTAAGTTCCAGTGTTGTAACCAGGATGAACACCCAAAGACATAAAAAGGTAGTACACACAAATCCCTAGGAAAAAGTTGACTATTCAATTACAAAAGTTATTTTGGCAATGTCCGAAAAATGTAACTTAGGTGTTTTAAAAATAAATAAATAAATAATAATTAATCAATTTTTCCTGAAAAATCTGTGTGTGCACCTTTAATGCTTTGGGTGGTTCATCCTGGTTCAAAAATAGAATGTTTAAAAGTTCTTTGTTTCAACCATGGATATTATAACAATAAGACCTGTATACAGCATTGGAGCACATATCTAAAGCTGCTCAGTGCACATGAACCCAAAAAAGCCTCTTCCCGCTGAATGAATGCAATTTGTCGCACCAGAGACGTCCAACCGTGCTGAGCTGGCTAACTTCCAGTTTAGCCATGCACTAAACTTTGAATAGGGATAAACAGTGATTTATTGTGTGCGCTCTTCTAGACTTTCTAATATCTTCTAAAATAAACAATATATATAAGTCGTTATCACACCGTTCTCCAGCTTCCGTAAGTATTTTGGTCATCTTAGTTGAGCCAGAAGTTTTACGATCGTTTAAGTCACATACTTCACGATGTGTTTCACTGCATTTTGTCCATTTTGCAACTTTTAACACCTGTTTTTTAACTAGCAATGACAATCTGGTCACATTAGAAAGAGGAAATCAACTATTGTTTCCTCATTAGTCACTCTTTACCTATGTCTGTATATGTCTGAAATCTTTGTTTTTTAATAAAACCACTCTTTTGGAAACCTAACATGGAATGGAAATTAATTAGTAGGAACACCTGTATTATGATCTACTTCATGTCAAAAATGGCTGCTGTGAAAAAGGTCTATTGAATGGTTCCATTCATGTCCACAGGTGGCCTGACTGAGCCTAATGACAGTGATTGCTCCATGGAAATGAGGGAATCTGGGCCCTTGGTCCAATTAAATTTGTCTCCATGCACCAATAATGGCCCTGTAGTAAAACATGTGCAGTGCCTGCAATTAACATTAAGCCCCTGGGAGTGGACCTAAACAATACTGATTCTTCTTTCTAAGTGCACTAGTTTACTATACAAGACAGATATATCTCTAACTTCAAATCAGATCCAAAGAACTTCCTCTCCTCTCTGTCTCACATACAACAAAACACACCACACAATCCAGTTACAAAATAATTTGCATCATTATGATTTTAAGTTATTATTAATTGAACATATGTGACAGTCAGAGTAGTATAGTAGTTCATTATATATGCAAATAAAAGTCTACTGCTTTAATAATTTAATTCATCTAATCTTCAGAGGCAAAAAACAACAGTTTATTAAGTTATTAAGCAGATTAGCCTCAAAAAGACAGTGGTCTGAATAATGATACCAACATGTAGACGACTAGTCCAGGTGTGTCACTCTGCAGACACACTGGTTTACAGGTTTAATTCCTAGTTTGTTACACTATAATGTAACAGTTGTTTCAAAAGGGCTTGTCTGAAGAAGAAATGTAATTATTTGTGGCTAGGTATTTATATTTATGGTTCCGATGTTCTGAAATAGACAATATTCCATCACTTCAATATGATGGATGGTAATGGACCTGTACTGTGTATAGCGCCTTTCTAGTTTCCTGACCACTCAAAGCGCTTTTATACTATGTGCACATACCACCCTTTTCACACACAACTTACTCAGTGATGCAAAGTCATCGAACAGTAAACTACTCATAACATTCACACACAGTCACACAGTGCACAGCATCGGTAGAATTTTGGGTTTAGTACTTGCTTCAAGGATACTGTTGACATGTGGTGGGCCTATTCATACACAGCAATTTGGGGTTCTACTTCGAGTGGCAGAAGGAGCCGGGGATCGAACCAACAACCTTCCGATTAGGGGATGACCCGCTCTTCATCTGAGCCACAGCCGCCCCTATGTGACTTTATTTCTTAAAGATCCCCCTTCATTTAATTTAATTGTATCTCTATCTATGTTCTTTTTGCAAAAAAAGTTTTCATTTAAAGATATCCATGCACCATGAATTGGATAAGATTTTTACCTGTTTGTTATATGAAAAGTTAATCTTATAGTTCAGTCAAGTGAAACTTGAATGCACATCCACCACCTTTTGTCATGACACTCTCACTCCCTTTCAAATGTATCATGTGGTCTAATCAACAAACAAAGATAAATCATTTTGTGTCATTGTCGACCCTAATGGTAGGACAAGATCATATTTTTAATTAAAGGACAATATCCGTGCCATATTGGTGCAATATGTTATGAAAGCTGTGTTAAAACTCTCCCAACTGCTCTCAGTCTCATTATAGGCATACAGATGTGCAGAACAAAAAGTCTCTCTGTGTTCTTTATAACTCTCTCTCATCTTTGTTTTCTCTCCACCAGGTATACTGTACAAGGGCAACGGTGAGAACATTTTCATTTCTCAGCAGCCCCCTGTCATCAGCAGCATCATGGGTGAGTACAGAGTCAAATGTTATTGGCTTGACCTGCACATTTGTGATCAGTGCTAATCATTGCATTATGGTCAGTAGTCTTGCGTCAATGATTTAAAGGTGTGTAACATTTACGTTTTTGTTACCTTAGAATGAGCTTTTATCGATCAAGAGTCACACTGAACAGCTATGTTTCTACAGTAGCATGTTTTTTGCAATTTTTGCAGCAGCTGTTTTCCTACATCTTGAACCAACTACACTGCTAGTTGTCCCTAAATCCTCCTCACCTGTCCTTAAGTGTGAGAGCCACAGGAATCTCATGGGACTCAGAAAAAACATTTTCTGGAAAATGGAGATGGGAGTCTTTTGGTTAATGAAAGATGCTTTCACATCAACTAGGAATATACAAAAAATATTTCTAGTAAATTTCTTCAAATTTGGCACAAACTTAAAAAACTTACTGATTACATTTTGGCGGTCAAAGGAGAAGGTCACTATGACCTCACATTTCAGTCAGGACCACTTTTGTCAAAATAAACTTAAATCCAAAAGCAGAATGTTATATTTGGCGGTATGGCTCTATTCTGGGACCTCCCTGCCCTTCCATGCGCATACATGGAACAGTTTAAAAAAAAGGAGAGCAGCAGCAAAGACCCCCAGGGTACAGAACAGAGCAAGCATGTCATTTCTGATTGCCATTTATTGATTCAGATACACAATGAAATGAGGAGCTAGGGTGGAGGTGGGTTGCAAAGCAGCTTGCAGACAAAGCAGCAAAGATAGGCAGGGTAAAGCAGCTTAAATAAGGTGCCCTGAATGATATTTGCCAATTGGATGCTTGGAGGGAATCAGCTGAGCCAGCAGCCAGTGTTTACGATTAGCTGTGATCAGCTGATGTAGCTGGAATTGAGAGCTGAGCTTGACTTTGTGGCCTGCCTGAACTAACGCTATGCTTAATTTTTGGTAATTGTTTAATGTTTAATGGGATGCAACAATTAAGTGATGACATATGATGGCATACAGCAAATAAAGACTTGGTCCGCAGCAGTGTTCAACAACCTGGCCTGAAGTAATATAAAGCTATATAAGCTCTCAACTGGTCGGTCTGTTTTGTGGAAAAAGCAGAAACCAACTGTTGCAGTCAGTAAAAATGGATTTCAATATCCTCTCCTAGGAAATGGCCGCCGCCGCAGCATCTCCTGCCCCAGCTGTAATGGGCAGGCAGAGGGAAACAAGCTACTGGCACCCCTGGCTCTGGCCTGTGGAGCAGATGGCAGCATCTTTGTCGGAGACTTCAACTACATCAGAAGGATCTTCCCCTCTGGGAATGTTACCAGTGTCATGGAGCTGAGGTAAGAGTGGAGGCAGGGGGAAGGGAGAGGGAGGGAGGGAGGGAGGAAGGCTGCTGTGGCTGCGGCCAGATCGGGGAGTGAACTTATTCCAAAGAATTCATCTCCTAGTGTCACAGAGATAAAGGTCTCACTCAGAGAAGTCATGATCCATTTTACAGTAAAGCTTTGCCAAAACCTTTTCATCCGGTTTCTGAGGGTCAAAAACAAACATGATTTGTGAAAATGAACAGAATTGAGATTTTTCTTGGCATCTTCGCTTCCTGCACTCAACTGTTCAAATCTTGGAGGACTTTGAAGCAGTGCTTGAAAATATAAAGGAAGGCAGGGATAGATACATGGCCAGATTGGACACCACTACAGTAATTAACATTCAATTACTTACTCTTTAGCCAAAGTGCTAAAAGATACAAGTGCACTCTGAATTTAGAAGGAAAAATCCGGATTACTGCTCTGTATTCAGAAACATGTTTCTGGCACACTCAAGTGCTCATTTCTCAAAAACTCCTAGTCTAACTGCCATCTGAACTCTTGTTCCTACTGACATCTGTAAAGCATGATTCAGAGTCTGAATTTTGACTACAACTTCTAACTGTTCCCTTTTTATTTTCCAGTTAATGGTCCTAGTAGTAATATAGACCAACCTGTCTACTAACTGTGTTTCTTCTTTGTTTTCTTTCCTTTGCTTGCACTGTATTAAAGAAACAAAGATTTCAGACATAGGTAAGAGTGACTAATCCTTCTTTAACCTTTAACCTTCTTTTCATTTCACTGTCAATGATCCTGCTTACCCACACATTGCACATTTCTTCCGTCCCTCTCTTTTTGTTCAATAAAAACAATAACTGTTGCTCATTCCAGTCAGCTGTCAGACCTGAGTATCTTGATGTCCTGAGCCCAAGGTGGCAGAGCATCAAGGAAACAGTGAGCTAAATCAAGCTGTTAACAAGCTAATTTTGCAGATATAATTTCTTCCCGAAGTCCAATAATCCTTTAAAGCTGCAGAATGCATCATGCAAGGAAGAGGAAAGTGTCCCATAGGTCAGACAAACAGATGATGTCCAACCAGACAAACAGCCTTTACACCAGTTAGTAAATTAGCTGAAAGGATAATTCTGGTTAATTACAATTTGTCTTATGTTTGTTGTTTTGTACGGAGCCCCCCTGGTGACATTGGATTAAAAAAAAAATAATGCATGGCCACACATTACTATCTCGTTGCCACAAGATAATAAGGCGTGGCCATGAGTGGGCATTGAAGATAGTAACGCGGTGGCAACGAGATAATTATTTGCAGTCTATTTCCATGGCCAGAGACTGTTGCATTGTTAACATGGACAAGTTTGGAATTAATTTTACTTTATTTTAATATGAGGAAGTGGAATTGCATGGAGTAATTCTTAGCAAGAGACACTTAATTCGGCTGCTCAAAATGCATGGACTTAAACGCAAGGAATATGCTGATGTCGGGGAAGGCATAGATTTCATTATTCAGCAGCTGGAAGGACCTGGGAGACTACATGGCTACAGGTGGATGTACAACAAGTGCTTAAAGAAAGGTGAATTATCTTGTGGCCACGCATTAACTATCTCGTGCCCACGCATTGCTATCTCGTGGTCACGAGATAGTTATATATTTTTTTTTTTTATCCAACGTCACCAGGGGGGCTAGTTTTGGGTATTATTTCTATCTGTCATGATAACATTTTACCTACCAATGTGATTGAGAAAATCTGGAAACATGGAATTATCCACTCACTCTAATCAGTAATGTTGCAAAATTACTCTACTAGGCAGAATTAGATAAAGAAAAGAGAGGAGGAAGTAGTCCTGATGCTACTATCAAAATAAGATCATCTCCTCTCACTTTTTTGCCTGCTTCTTTTTGGTGTCCCTCAGTCTCATTCATTTTCCCCCTCTAGTCTTAACAAGTGTTCACGCGAAATGGAGCCAACTCTTCTGTTGTCATCTCACTTGAACGGCACAGTCATCATTTTGGCAGCCCCTAGCAAGGAGACCTAGCAAGGAGAGATGTAGTGGAGGGGATGGGTATTGGCCATAGTCTTCCTTATTTCTTTCAGGTTTATATTTCCATCTCTTTATCTGAAATGGATTATGGACAGAGCAGTTTAGTGATAATCCTCTGTGCGTTCGTGATGATATTCTAGGGCTGTCCTCAACCAAAGAAAATCTTGGTTACCTACTCTTCAAGTGGTCATAATTAACACAAAAAAAATAATAAATGTCTCCTTTTGCAACCCACTTGAAGTCCATTGTCCATGGGCTGAAAATGCCCGCTCACAATGTTGCATGAAAATGATATAGTGTGGTCTCCTCTTTGCCACTGGTTACTGGTTATGGCACCTGCACTGTTGTACGTCACAAGTACGATTCAGCTTTTTGTTTTTTGTAAATGTTCATTGGACATCATGTCAATATTAATCTATTTCTATTTTATCACTCACCTAATTTGGTGACTTGTAATTATGGGACCAGACTAGTATAATATGTAACAAAGTTTGGTATATGTTAGTAGTTTAGTATAGTGTTTGCTCTCTCACATGCCAGTGAAAATGGCTTAGTGTGCCCAAGCTGGCATGTGTTATGGGGTTGCGACCCGTTGTCCTCCCAAGAAGAATGACTGCAGCAGTCAATTCAGCAAGTGCCTCAAAACCACATCTGTCGAGGTGGATGGTCATGGTCAACAATCGTTTCCTAACTTTAACCACAAAAAATATTTAACATATTTTGACCCAAGCCATTAACTAACTAACAAATCTAACCAAAACACAATACAAAATACAATTTCCTTTCTGGAGGACTAGTTGTGTCCAAAGGTGTCCATATTAATTGGATTTCTCTACCTAAATAAAAGTGAATCTGACAACAAAGGGCATTCTTATCAGCATGTCTTTCCCTCACAAATACAGAAGAGACTCTCTGTATCTCACACACACACACACACGGGCGGCTGTGGCTCAGAGGCAGAGCGGGGCGTCCCCCAATCGGAAGGTTTGTTGTTCATCCCCAGCTCCCCCGACCACGTGTCGAGTATCCTTGAGCATGATACTGACCCAATTGGCTCCCGATGCATAGCATCGGTTGTGAAGGTGTATGTTGAGTTGAGTTTCTGTTTGGATGGACTTTGCATACTGAGTACATGTGTGAAAGGGTGAATGTGGCCGTAAGTTAAAAGCGTTTTTTCTATTTTTAGCTGTCTTAATTAACAGCCTGTGATCATTGCTGATTATCACCAACCACCGAGACTTACAGCAAGAGGCGAGTGTGTATATATATCCATCCCTGTGTGTGTTCAGGTACACAGAATACTTGACAACTGTGAGTTTGTTTGAGAAGTGACGACCCATCGCACCCATGTAGCTCTGTTCAGACTGACAGACACACAAACCTATTGTCGCGTAGGCACACACACAGTATGAAGGCACTTGCTTACTTTCTCACTTGCATATATTTCACATCTAGACTTAACTCTAGAGAATCTAATCAAAAACTTGTACTGTCTGTCATGACTGCCTCCCATTCTCTCTGTCTCTCTCTTTACACACACATATACATGCACACACACCCGGTACTCTACTACAGTAAATTTACACCAGTCTTGGCTTTCACTTCATCAACCTTCCTTTTATTCATTACTTCTCCATTATCATCAGCTCTGGAAAGTCTCCCTCATTTCCCCATCAAAATGATACTGGAACCAAATTGTAAATCTGCTCTGTTGATGATAATTTCATTGTAAAATTGCTTTATTAAGCCATATACTTTTGGATGCTTTTAGTGTCTGTGTTAAACTAGGTGTAATTCTTTAAATGGTCTTTAAACATTGATATCAGCTACTGACATTCAGTATGATTAAATCAATTATTTCCTGGTTCTATCTTGTCACCCTCATCCCCTTTTGTCCACCGTTACCCTCCATAGCAACAATCCTGCTCATCGTTACTATGTAGCCACCGACCCAGTAACGGGACAGCTGTATGTATCAGACACCAACTCACGTCGAATCTACCGACCCAAGATGCTCAGTGGTGCCCGTGACCTCATCAGTAAGCATGCACTTCTTTCCTCAAGTGAAATGGCATGTTGGTAGAAATGAAAGCAACCAGTATTTTAATAATTATTTAAATTTTAATTAATTGTAATGCAGTGTTGTCATACATTATAAATGAAATTCTTATAATATAGCAGGGGAAAAGATCAAGGATAGAGACTGTTGCAATATATGCATGGTGTGCTTGTGTGTGTGTGTGTTCAGGTAATGGAGAAGTAGTGGCTGGTACAGGTGAACAGTGTCCTCCATTTGATGAAGCGCGATGTGGAGATGGAAGAAAAGCTACAGAGGCACAACTCCTGGGACCTAAAGGTAAAAACACACACACAAGTAGTTGATTAATTGATTAATTGTCAACTGTTGAATTAAATTCCAACTATTTTGATCATCGATGAAAAGAAAATCCATATAATCTGATTTGAGTTTTTCAAATGTGAATATTTCCTGCTTTCATTAGTCCTCAATGACAGTACGCTGACTATCTTTGGTTTCTGGACAAAACGGGAAACACTGATCAACATTTTTCACAATTGTATGACATTTTATTTGCCAAACTTATAATTTTATCGAGAAAATTACTTTAAAGCTTGGCCTGTATTTATCATACGTTTCAGAGTTGGAAATTGGTCCTAACTGGTCCAACAATTAGAATAAAGAGAGAAGGATAGAGACAGAAACAAAGGTGAACAGCAACAACAGTAGCAACAACTATACTGATAGACATGAGTGAATGATGATGATGAAGATGATGAAGATGATGAAGATGATGAAGATGATGAAGATGATGAAGATGAAGATGAAGATGATGATGATGATGATGAAGGTGATGACGACGACAACAGCCACAACAATGGTGGGACGATGGACAATAATAGTAGTAATAATATCAATAATATTAGCAGTGGGAGTCAAGCAGGACCATGGCAGCAGGATCCATGAGAACCTGCGAGACGAGAAAGCACAAGAACTCCGGGGAAGAAGTGAAGTTAGTAACATGCATTAATGGGACATGAATGAGTGCAGAAAGAGAGAGAGAGG